ATGTTTCCTGTGTCTTGATAGGATCACTACAGTGGCAGGTGCCCCACTTAGGGAAGTATCATAGAGCATAACGTGCATTATTTAATGATTTCCATTACATCTTCTTTCATTTACATTATTACTATTATATCATTATCTGTGATTGCTCTTTATTTATACTTTTATTTTCTTACCCAGGAACTTACATAGCACAGTAACTGTACATTTAAACTCATACTTTTCAGAGCAATAGCAAAAATAACTACAAGTAAAATATTCATTGAAGCTCAAGTACTATGAAATAATGTAGCAAACTCAAACATTACTTATATTTCATGTGAGATAAATAGAAATTCCAAAAACATTTTACTAAGTTATTTCAAAATTTCTTAATATGGAAACTATAGTTTCGGTTAGGAGTCTTCACTTTGAGGCATGCTTTGGATAAATCTTCATGATAGTTAATGTATGTTCAATTTACCAACATCAGTTCACTGATAATAATAAATACATGTGATGGTAACTCCAGATGTTATCTCTAATGAAACCAAATGTCTTTTTATTATCAAAATGATCTTTACAATGAGCATGAATACAAATTTATCAAGCTATTGCTGACATAGTAATAAAGAGGAAAATCCCAACTTGTATTTGCAGTTTCTCCTTTACTACATCTCCATAGTCCATGTAACAGTATTAAGAGAATGTCATTTCTGTGCCCTATGAGCTGAGACTTCAACCATACATCTTTCAAGGTCCATCTCAGCAACAACCCTGTTAAAGTTTTTCTCAATTTTTCTGTCATTTTACATTCCTTTCATCTTTCATTATATGTTACCAGAACGTTTAGAATTTCACTTATCCTCTTTTATTAGGTTACTTACAGCATATGCTTTCTGCCTGCTATTAGAATTTACGGCTTCCAGTAAGTTGCGGAATGCTTAAAAATACCCAAGTCTCCCACCCTTTTGCCTCGTTCCCTGTCCAGATACCACACCACCTGCAGAACCTGACGCTGGGCCGCCACTGTGCATGCTGGGCCTGGTGTCACAGCATCAGAGCTCTTGGTTCAGCTGAGAAGCTCAACTTTAAACGGTTTAACCAAAATAAATATGTTTTCACCAGAAGAGAGCAAGCAGCCGAGGGCCTGAGCGCTGCCCACGCTGCTTCCTGTCTCTCCTGCAGGCGTACTAACGGCTCCGTCTACCTTGGCTGGTTATCTTCTGTAAGTCCATGGGATGGAGCTCCAGCAGCACTCAGAAATGAGAGCTCCGTTTGCCACTAACAAAGGACTAGGGCTTGGTTGAAACATCCTAACCTTCACTGCCAGTGCCTAAATTATTCAGTGCGAGTGGAAGAGGAGGGTAATCTCATTGGCCAAGCTGGGGTCAGGAGCCTACTAGTTAGTAACTCCACCTGGGAGGGCAGAACACTGGCTGGGCGTGCAGTGGTGCGGTCTCAGTCGCACGCTTACAGAATGTGGTTCCAATCTTGGTGCATGTGCTGCCAACACAAGCACACATTTTCCAAAGGAGGAGCTGAGAATGTTCTGTCATTCTTGAAACATGAGATAGATTGTAAAGTTCTGCTAAAAAAATGTTAAAGATAAAAGTGTATGTGTTAGTTATGTGGACAGAAGAAGAATATCAGCTAAATACTTCCAACTCATTAACCCAGCCAAATTTTTAAAGTTTTCTAAACATGAGCTATTGACCCTAGAAATGAGCATCACGGGTGTCAGAAGAGCCTCTCGAAAGATGAAAAATTGTAATTGCATGTATGGACTACTTAGAATAGAACTCAGAGCAAATTAGGAAAAACAATTTGTCTCTGAGAGGAGTAATAGACCATACAGCTTAAACATTATTTGCTCTAATATAAGTTTCTGGTAAATTTGATGTGGTTTTAGACCATTTGTATGTCCTTTTGTTTTTACTTTTTTTGTGTGTATTTAGGACAGGGTCTACTATGTAGATCAGACTCTTAGTGATCTGCCTGTTTTCAGCCTCCCAAGTGCTGGGACTACAGGTGCGCGCCACTACGCCCAGTCTCAATCGCCTTCTTATCATGTGCAGGGGGTAGGGGGAACTCAGCATGCCAGGGATTGAACCCCAGATGCTAAGTCGGCCTAAACAGGCACTTTAATCTGCTGAACTGTTTGGCCAGACCATATATGTCTTTCTTCAGTCGTGTTAATCTGCTGCTCTCTAACTCTAAAGGTAACAACATGATAAAAATCAGAAAGCAAAAAGATCCAAGATTGTATTTCCCTAACATACATAAAGTCATTTGGGGAAACTATTAAAATAGAGTTCATAGCCCCACCTTCATGAATTTTCATCAATAGGGTTGGAGCTGGGCTCTGGCTCCTAAAATTTTAAAGAATTGTCTAGATTCTTCTTAGGCCACTCACTCCCATTCTGTAACATTCATATGGTGACATTGCTCAGAATGGCCTTTTAGGGCAAAGCACTTTGCCATTTTGCAAGAGGGATGAATAAAAAATCAGCAGCCATAAAGTCAAAATAGAGTAATGTGCTCCCAGACGGACAGCTTCTGCTCATTAAGACTCAGGGTGGTCTGAGGTTGTCTTCTAAGAGTGTGCAATTCCAAGTTACACCAACCCTGTAAGTCAGGAGGGACAGGTGTGCAAAAGTCCCGAGGACACAGGCCAGGGTGTCTTCAGCAGGCTTTAGGCTGATGCTCATGGTCGGAGGTGAGCCCAGTATTGTGCGCTTCAACACGGTAACTCATGGAAGCTTTTCCTTTCTTTCAGCATCGAATGCTGCCCAGTGCAAAGAATATAAGCTAAACTGCACATGACTTGAGCTATGGAAGACTGCAAATGCAATTAAACAATGTAGTCATAGCTACGTCCTTTCACTCCGAAATAATTGTACCATGAAATGTAAAATCCAAACTCCATTTTTTAATGTGATCAGTTGTTCTAGAACAAGGTGTGTCTGAAGAGCTTTTCCATTTGCTCTTATATTTGTCATTGGTCTCAGCAAGATTTAAAAGAACCAGTCGTACTTTCTTGCAGTCCCGCTCAATTTACATAGCATGACTTAAAACCTATTATTCAATGTCTTCACTTTGTTTTAATATATTGGATTATTCCAGTTGCTTCTTTCATAGAATGAATACAAATGTGTTAATATGAAAGTCTGTTCTAACGTGAACATTTAGGTGGAAAAGGCCAACAAAATGAAGTAGCTTTGGGGACTCGTATTGTTTTATTTTGAAATCTCTTTAAGCAATTTACTAGAAATAATTACACAGAAATATGGTACAGATTAGAACTCATCACTATTGTGTTTCCCCAGCATTGCTGGACCCTCAGTAACTCTCTTCTCCCATGTACCACGCAGGTACAAGAGAATTCTCCTCAGGCCACACATCCCCCAAAACCCCGCGTGTACACACCTGTGGGAAGTAGAACTTCCTAAGCACAAATGCAGTCTCCTCACAGAACTCAGCAAGGATTTCACCCCTCACTAGTTTAGGAGGAAAGCAGCCTGAGGGCTGCCGGAGAGGACCATCAGCGGACTCTCACAGGCCTCACCTAGGCTGCTGTCTGTCAGTAAAAGCTCTATGAACACACAAGATGTTCACTGCCACTCTGGAGGGTGAGCAAAAGCGCTTCTCAACCACAAGGAGCCTGATCTCAGCTTCGTTCTCTTACTTCCACTCGATGTCAAACATTCACTTCTTAGGATGTATTAACTATTGCATACTCACTGCCGTTAGGTTGAAAATCAAGAACTACTCTCAGTTACTATGTCTTTTATTTTGCTTAACGGATATCACCAGACCCCGCAAGCTGGAGACCTTGCTGTTATTATTATACTGTCACCAGCTTGTCCTCTATCACATTGTTTCCCGAGCTTACCAGTTCAGCTCCTTCTTCGTTTCCCATATTTTTTGTTTTTACTACCATAACTCAGGTCTGTATTGCCTGTGCAATGTCGCTTCCTCAAGCAAAACCGTAGCAATTCCAAGCTAGAGACCAAGCTAGAGACCACTTCAAGTCAGAATATTTGCTCTGATAATCTGCATTTCTCAGCTATTTGGACACTATGTTTTAAAACTTACCTCTTATCTCTTCATGTGTCAACACAGTCATAGAAAAACTGACATTTTTGTCAGTTCCTCTCTCTTTGGCTTTGTTCCTACAGCCAGTATGCTTCCTCTCCTGTCTTTATCCAAATTCTTTTTTTTTTTTTTTTGGCTTTTTCCGGCTGCCTTAAGTATAAGTGGCGTGTGGCTTGTGGAGCTGGGGATCAAACCGCGGTCCTCTGCAACCGACTGCTTTTGCCCAAGTGGCACTTTAAACAACTGAGCTAACTGGCACGCCCCCTCTTTATCCAAATTCTAATCGTACTTACCTATGTGTCCCTTTCTGTGCGTGACAGCTTAGAGACTCCTTCACAACACCCACGACTTCCTGCCTTGCCCCATGGTGCTTTCACAGAAGTTTTGCCCCTGCTTGAGCATATGTTAATTCTCTCTGTACAAATATCCTTCTTGATGACACAATCCAAGGCTGATTAACCTCTGTAGCTTCCACAATTCTTAGAGAAATTCCTTACAAACTATATTCAATACATGTTGACTTAATGATTAAATATGAACATATCTGATGATAATAATCAGAAGTTCTGATTTTTTTTTAATTTAAAGAAGAGCACACAATTATTTGCCTGAAGAAGTGTCCATAGTTACTTTTGTACTCAGGAGACTCATCAGTAACCAAACAATCGATGTTGATTAATGCTTTCAGTAATTATTACTTTACATGACGTTGAGCAGACGTGCAGCCTAATTCCTGAGGGGAGACCACGTTTCTGTTTAATTTTTGAGCAAAAATACTCTTTTTTTATTTCAAGGCATCAAAACATTTAGCAGTCATTAAACACACAAATCCAGGAAGCCACAGAGAATTTTCATGCAACATCCCCGGTCCGGGAAATCAATTGTGAAATGCGTTTTGTGCTCAAAGTCTATTCTTTATTTCCCAGGTGTGATGGGAGAATATGAGCCTAAGATTGAGGTCCACTTCCCTCTCACGGTCACAGCCGCTAAGGGAGCAACCGTTAAGCTGGAGTGCTTTGCTCTTGGCAAGTAAGTACATCTACTGGTATAATTAGACACGGTTGTTTATGAAGATGCGACACAGTTTGTGGGCCATTTGTCTTGCTAAATCTTGTTTTCCCAGAAGCTTCAATGTGGCTATGCTTTTTTTTGAAAAGAGGAACAAGTGAGAATTGACAAAATAACCAATTGTAATTATTTCCCTAATCATTTCTATGGACAGCGATCTATATGATTTTGTTGCTTTAATGTAAAAAAAATTTCATTAAATTAAAATTTTGTATCTCTATAACTGCCTTACTTAAAATATTTGTATTTAAAATTTTACATTATTTTATTTATATTATTTAACAATGATGTAAATATATAGAAAATAAAATGCCAAGATAATATTTATTTTCATGCATATGATACAGATATTGAAATGGTATAAGAAAATAGTATGGAGGACCAGCAAGATAGCTCAGCAGACTAAGTGCCTGCTTAGGCAAGTGCAAGAACCGGGGTTCGATCCCAGGTACCACATGTCACGCCAGCCCTGACCCCGGGCACGTTGAGCCAGTGACAGAGTCTGGGCATGGTGGCAGATGCCTATAATCCCATCCCTGGGCAGGCTGAAAACAGGAGGATTGCTAGGAGTCCAAGCTGCATAGTGAGACCCTGTGCCAAATACATTTTAAAAAAGTATAAAACAATTATAAGGGTAATAGTTATAGTGAACAAATTGATTATTTCAATAGTTCCTGAAATTAAAGCTTGACATCCTGAGCTATCAATACACACAATAAGCAATCATTCCTAAGTCAGAGAGATGACTAATATCACACCCTAATGTCTGTCACGCTCCGCGATTCTATTCTGAGTCGCTTTCAATGATGTTTACAATTAGCGTACTGGAATCAGAGCTAGAAGTGGTGTTTTGATCATATTTGATTAGAGTATTAAGATTTATTTTAAACAGAGTGTTTTTTTTTCTTTTTTGATGATGAGACCTCAGGGTCCTTTCTAAACTCTATAATTATAATTTGCATAAATGCATCTCTATCAGAGTAACTAATCATTTAACTTCAGTAGTGTTGAGCTGGCTGGCACAGCATAACTATAAAGTACTTGGAAATAAAACATGCTTCATAAATGTGCTTATAATATCAGGCTTACGCTGTAAGTAAAAAACATATTAATATGAGAAACTACATAAGTAGAGATTTAGGAATGAACAGAAAACTCCACTTTAATTTCAAGAAGGATTGAAATAACTTGTCTATGGAGGCGTATTCAAATCTAAGTAGAAGCAAGATTGTAATAGACAAAAATGCAAATAAATTGTTATGTAAGCTATCATTTAAGGAAATGATGCCCATAAATAGAAATATATATTCAATAAATCAAACTCACCTAACAAATATTGGGGGAGACACCTCAGGAAGCTTTCCAAATCTAAAGGTACTAGCTAAGGGCAGGGATTAGAAGTTAAGTTGTGTTTTGTACCTGTACTACATCTCTCCAGAATGTAAACATTATGTTTGACACACATGTACTAGTAAACTAAAAATTAAAGAGATAATAGCTAACTGCATAACGTTAAGTAATAGGTCGACAGATTTTCTTTACTGTTCATCAATGTTACAGCATCAAATATTCCTGAAAATGTCTCAGTAAAATGCTTAATTTTGATAAATGCAAAGACAATATATTCTGAGTTGATGCAAAAGCTTTTATAGTATATGCTCCAGTTGAATAATTTTTAAATACTAGAACTTGTACTACAGCCACAAACAAAGGGAGGTCATATTGTAAAGCAAATTACAAAAAATAGAAGTATATAGGAAAGAAACAATAAAGAATATTCCCTTAGGCAGGCTTATTTAATACGTTAGATGTGGTTGTCTTTAGAAGCCTTGAAATATGTTTAGTAAATTGGTGCTTAAAGCCCTTGCTGTCTAGATAGGAGCCAACAGTTTAATCATTTATATTCTTTAATACTTTATTTTCTTCAACATTTTCACTCCTTTACTATCCCTCTTTTCCCCCACATGAATAAAAAGAAGTTAAAAACACAAACCACCTTAGTAAAGTTCTTTAATTTGATTTTTTTTAATTAAATGTCACAACTATTGGAAGCAAAGAGCATAAAGCAACCTACACTACCGCAGACTAACCTTTAGTGTTGGGGAAAATCAAGCTGGAACCCCATGCCCCGGGCTGGGCGCTTGCAGCCTGTGAGCCTGTGGGGCAGGTTAGCACGGAGGCCAACGAGATGACACCGCCTGAAAGCAGCCACATGTGAATGGCTGCTCGGTTCTCGCAGCTCGCCGGAGCTGTGGGCCACCAGTGCCGTGGTTCTCTTGTGGGCCTCTGATCCGGGGACTTCGCTGGCTGTCACTGGGTGTCAGTTAAGCCCGTGGCATGCAGGCTGACTCTCGGGTGTCCTCGTGGAGCATTTCAGCCCGTGTCTCCCGTAGAGTCCCTTAAGCCAGTCCTGGAATTGAGCAAGTCAAGCTTGTGTGTATCTCATGATCTTTGCCTGTGTGTTTCCTCCATGGGAAAGCTCTTCCCTCCTCTCCGTGACAGCTCCCATGGTGGTATCACCTCCTCCAGAGGCCACCTGTGCCTGCGTGTGTGCGTGTGTGTGTGTGTGTGTGTGTGTGGCCATATTCTCTAGTGTAATTTTAAATTCACACAGGTGTCAGCACTTTAATGTTTATCTCTCTCAGTCCTGAACCCAGCTGGAGTCAAACTCAGACAGCTCAATGGAGTTCAGCCAGTGGTCACGTTAAAGATACATGAACAGGAGTTAGAGGACCAAGGAGAGAACCTGAGGCCTTGTGAACAGGGACACCGGGAGTCAGCAAAACTGATAACCTGGGTGACCAAGGGAGGAAGCAGGTGAAGAGCCTAGAATGGGGAGGGCTAGAGATCCAGAGCCCGGAGGTCTCTCTGCGGCAGGAAAGGCCTAGCAAATCCAAATCCTGACCACTCTCATCTTTATGCTTTCTGTTCTTCTCTGGCCACTTCCTTGAAGCCAAGCAGAAGTCCAGCAGAAGTCAGTTACAGGCCAGTGGATATAGGGACGGACAACAGAAGGTTCAGGGGAAAGAAGAGAGTGACCAGTGGGTGAACACACAGATATAATGCATAGATAATTTCACATATGAAAGTTGTAGTTTCTGTATTCTTAAAAGCCGATAAAAGCAAGCATTTTAGGTTATCAAATTTTACCATCTATTGATAACATCAAAGTTTGACAATATAATCTAAAGAATTCTTCAATATGAATTTATTAAATGCTCCCTCTTAGGCTGTGGGTGCAAATGAAAACAAGGATGTACAAATTCATTCCTAGAAATGATCTTAAAATAGAGTTATGCAATATTAACCACAGAACTAATAAAAGTGGCTATGACATGCTATATTTGGTATTGGTCAAGTCTGTAAAAGTATTTTTCAGAAAAATAGGAAATGTTTAAATATGATCCACAGGTAAACAGAGGTATATGAAAGCTTGGAGAATACAGCAGCGTGTAAAAGAGAAACAGAGGAGAAATTACTTACTGTGGAAAGAAAAGGCTGTTTTAAACATATGGAAGGTTATCATCAAGAGATTGCTCACAAGCTGTTCTCTAGTTCCATCAAGGTAGGGAGAGTAAAATTTCAGCAGCGTAATATTAAAGTAGAAGAATTCAATTGGGTTTAATGTAGAAGTTCCTGACAGAATGAGTTGTTACAGGGAAAATGGGTTATCTGGGGCGGAGGCAGCCGCTCTTTCCCCGCTGCTTCAAGCACACAATAGCGCCATTTATCTTCGAATGATTTAGATGTGATACTCCCTGAAAGGAGAGAAATGATCCAGGTCCGGGTTAGAAATGAAAACTTCAAACATCCTCATTTACTGGCCATTCATTCCCCCACAGGAGACTAAACATTAAGAGTAGAAGAGAGCGGCAGGCAGTTGTAAGTAGCCGCCTTTTGGCAACTGTGTTATTGTAGGACATTTTAAACTGGTCTGTGACATACGTAGGGAGGAGGACAGAGAAGTGCTGCATTTTCTTGCTCAAGTGCAGGCAAGGGGTCTCCTAGGGCCCTACCTTAAATTCAAAGGATCTTTCCTGTCGCG